CCTGCTGGGATTTTCCTATTATAAATCTGCTGTCAGAAATAAGTGCTTTACTTGTGGTTTAATTTTATGCAGGCACAAACACCTTGGTTCAACACGTTTTGCCAGAGACAGTCTTGACTGTCTTAATGCAACAGAGTCCTCATTAACAGCAACCTGTGAAAAAGAAAAATGCACACATGCGCTTTTGTCATTGGTCATTCATGAGCAGTCCGATGAAAACTGAAATAAAACATAAATCCCGAGGTGGTGTGGAGCCGGTGTGGAGACATGAGTGTTTGAATCACACAGCTTATGTGAATTATCCATCTTGAAGAACATTACACTCCACCTTTTGAATGAAGTTTCATTAATATGGTGGAAAGCTCACAGTTTCTATTTTTTCTGCTGTGGCTGCTAAATTTAGCACTACCCGCAGTGCTCACACCTAAAACAAGCACCTCTGTTGTGGTGATTTTTTCCTTTTTTATCCAGCTATGTAACAGTACAGGCGACTAAGACAATGATTCCCAAGAAGCTCATCAGACTTGCTTGGTCAGTTCTTTCTCCATGCAAGGGCTGTCAAGATAGATTGGTAGTACTTCGCTGGCTTCATAATGCCTTTGTCCCTTTCATTTGGAATTGTGCATGCAAAAATAAAAAGTCAAGATCAGGCCTCAAAAGTGATTCATGCTTGTTTGCATATTTCCTCCTAATTTTGGCCCTGTCTGGTGCACTGGGCTGTGTTTCAAATGCGCACTGAGTAGATTTGTCACTGGTGTCTGTTACCTTGGTCTCGGGACATGGATGTGAAATTTGCCTTCAGGCACTCAGTGCTGGAAGTGTGACTTTAAGTTTGTCCAGTCTAAAAGAAATTATTAACCTGAAGTCGTAGGAGAGGGAATCTCAGATCATAGGAAAAGAGATCTTGTCATTATTCTGATGGAAGTCGTCCTTACCCCGAACCTAGTGTGTGCTTTTGTGTTGCTTTAGTATCAGATTTTAAAATCCTCACTCAACTAAGACTGCATCTCTTAGGCAGTGACAACATTAAAGTCGGGCCCAGAAGGAATCTCTTCTTCATGCAGTGCTGTGAATTTTCAAATTTCAAAATGTAATTTTGTTCCAGGTTGAAAGAAGACTCTGATGTACTGAAACTCCACCTGAAGTAAAATTTTGCCTTATTTTCCTATCTGGTCACTCAACACCTATATGTTTTAACAAAACCAAAATCTTTTCATTTTGATTTGCTTCATCTCATGTTTTAAAATAGTTTAAAAGTAAAAAATATGAGAAGTACTTCTTAATAGAAAGCCCAAAAAAATCCATTCAGAAAATGTGAAAACAAGCCATTTTGATGTTGCCAGAACTGACTGTTCCTCTTGCTTTTTTTTAATCTTCACTCCTTCCACCAAGAAAGTAGCATCGTTTTGAAAAAGACAATTTTGCAGAGCTGCACCTTTTTGATGGAATATGGCTCCAGCGTTGCTGGCTTTTGTGATCGGCTGTAGATGGAATAGTCAACTGATGAAATACAGTGTGCTTTGGATTATCCCAGCAACACGCTTCGCTTGCGGTGAATTCATTGGCGTGTATGCACGTTGTGTTTCCTCAGATCAGGATTGACAGCCTCATTGCTGGCTGGCTTGTGGCATCCCAAGTTAACACATGTAAACTTTGCAGCTGCAAGCTGTGTTATAACCGAAAGGACAAAGGGGATGAAGCCAGCAACTCCTTTCTTTTGTTTTCCTCTAAAAAATAAGTCTGTGCAAAGGCGCTTCTTCAAGTGAAGGACTACGAGGTACCATAACCCAGTTTATTTTATCTCCGTTTTCACGTGGTTCTCTTGACTTAATGCCCCTGCCTACAGCTGAGGGAGCTCCAAAAAGCTGGCTGAAGAGAGGGTCTTTACAGTGTTTCGGGAGAAAAGGAGAATTTTGTTTTACAGGCAGTCTGTTGTATTGCACTTCAAAGCATCCCTTTTCCAAAGTGTGACAGATATAAAGTAGCCACAGGAACAATTTTCCTGATGAATCAGAACTGTGAAGTGGGGAAAGGGAAGCATATTCCAATGATGGATTGCAGTGCAGTTTAATCTTCCCGTGTACCCCAACTGCAGATGCAATTTGCCTGTTTAGACATCTGAAGCTTCTGGAATGTGTTGAGCTTAAGCACAGGAAAACATACCTGATCTTCCGAGCTGCAGTGGATAAGCTGCATTTGAACCATAGCAATTGGGAACTTGGGGGATGAGGGCTAGTTTTGGTGGGGGGAGCATTTAATTAGTGTCTTACAACCCAAATTCTCAGAAAAACCTTGAAGTTTTCATCTCAGAATCCAAAACCAAGGGCTTCTCTGTGTCAAACAAGTATCTGCAGGTGGGTATGGCTCTCGGCATGCACAAACCCCTGGATTGCAAGTAGGGGATTTTTGATATCTGCCTCAGGAAGACCAATGCCAAGGGGGCTGGAGAGGGGCCAGGAGGAAGGAAGAGACCTTCTTGGGGATGCGGGAGGCTTTGAAGTGTGACCTCGAGCAGAACCGGAGTGGGAACGGTGGGAGTGGAGGTGAGGGGCAGCCGAGGCAGACAGTGGGGTGCAGGGGCTGTGGAAGCAGGGAGGGGAAGGCAAGGGTCCGAGTGGGGGGCTTGCGGGCAGGGAGGCTCCCGGCAGTGGGGACCACAGCGCCAGGAACTGGGTGCTCGCTGGACAGGTTGCAACAAGCGGTCGGGGGAAACCGGCTGTGTTTTTTAACAGCTGGTTTGACATAATGAAAGCTGAGCCCTGATCACATGCCCTGGGGGAAGCAGCGGCTGAAGTATCAGCTTAGGAATCAGGAGACCAGGGATTTGTTCTATCATCTGCAGCTATTTCAGGAGTGACTTTGGGCAAGCAGCTGATGTGCTTGCACCTTGGCTTCCCCACTGCCAAAAGGTGTTGCTCACCTTGATACCCCCGAAACTGAGCCACTAGAGGAGGAAACCTCTATTCTCCCAGTGTGGTAGGACAAAAACACTGAAATTAAAATATGGCAAGTTCAAAACTGTCGGAGGGAATTCCTTTTTCACACACACTGATGCAAATCAGGGCTAACACCAGTGACTAAGGTGAACTGGCGTCAGTGGGAAACAGAATTAAGTGGGGTCTGTTCAGTACCCATGTAAGTAATAAGCACACACTCATAGGGCCCTGATCCAGCTATTCTTCTGCAGTTTAATTTTTTAATAAAACAATTTTTGCCTGCCTTTTTTAAGACAAATGTTGAAGTGAACCTTTGCTCATGTAAAATGCATTTGCCATATGACTAATGGTTATTTTCAAAGTGCTGAGCGAAGTGTATGCATGTGTGTGTCAGAAAGGCAAAGAGAGAGAGAATCTTTGTGTATTTGCCATGGTAATTGTTTATGATTATAGTTGTATTTTCCAATTATCCTTGTAATACATCAGCAGTCTTGTCTCCATTTCTTTCTGTTGAGGTTTGTGTATAAAGGTAGAGATTTATGCTCTCAGATATTTCATTTACAGAAGTATATGCTACATCTTAAACATTAATTTTTATTCATAGAGCACCATAGAACAGAGAGAGAGAGATTTGTGGAAAAGATGGAGTTAAAACTTAAACCATGGTCATGCAAACAACTGTGTGGCTGTATGACTAATTTCAGGGCCTTGGACTGAAATGTTATTTCATATCCAGAAACTAAAGGAGAAACTCTGAAAGGCCCGAACTTGTGCTAATGCCTGCAGGAGAAATTAAGCTCAGAGTCAGGGCTGGAGAATTTGACCTAAAGCATATTAGTGTGGCTTCACAGACAGAGAAACAATATGGAAGTAGAGAATTAATTTCTTCTACAATAGCAAGATTTTGTAATCTTGCTCAAGCAGAAGCACGGTGGAAAATAGGAGAGGTGGCCTGCAGAGCATAAAGTCATTTGCACTTGGAATAACTGAGTTTACGAGTAAACTCCCAGTCCCGATATGTCAGCAGTAAAATTGTCACAGCTTTTACGTGGTCTATGTTGTACTTAAGGTTTTAACTACCTAGTGCCCAGCTGAAGCAACTGTCTTCTGCGATTGACCTCCAAATCAGGCACTGTGTAAATACCAGGTACATCATCTGTGTGTGTGCGTGCGCGCGTGTGTGTGTTTAATATGAAAGCAGCTTTTGTTTTACAATTGCTGCTGGTGCCATAGGTTGTGGGGACTGGTTTTCATTAACATACTTAGGCTTTTGTGATTTAACACTATTACATGATCTGAGTGTTTGAAAATGACTTAAGCAGGCCCAATCCACCAAGTCTGCCACGTGTCTTGGTGCCCTTTCCCAGGGCAGGAGTCGTTTCACACTGCTAGCATGACGTGATCTCTTCCAGCAGCACAGCAGGAAGAAATCCTTACAAGTTTCAGAGGTTATGAAAACCTGCATGGTTTAGCAACCTTTTCTACATCCACAGAAACGAAGGGTCTCCATCGCTTTCTGCCTCAAGGATAACACCACCACAGTCATACTGTAGTGGGATATTTTAAATTTATGCTATTTGGTGTCGGAGCTAGAGGTCTGTGAATGCTGCTGTAAGACTTCTCCTGTTCAACCGTTATTTCATGTTGGCATTGTTATTTGAAGGCCCAACTATAGCCAAGAAAAGGAAACTTCTGTACTTTTCTTTTTGTGTTAAATCTTTCAACTGGAATATTTTCAGGCACAATAGAATTGAACATGAGCTTTGGGGAGGGAGGAAGAGGAGAAAAGGGAATCAGCTAGAAGACATGATGGCTCCAATGGGGAACTCTGCAGTTTAGTTCTCTGGGGACTGAAAAATGCTTTCAACCAGTGTGATGTTGCAACAGTCCAAAAGAGGAGAGAAAAATCCACGTCTGGTCTAGACCGACCAGAAACTAAAAACAAGGGACACTTTGAATTCTGAGACTCTCACCACAACTGAAAACTGCGCTCAGGCCAAGTAACTGGAAAATCAGTTTCTTGGGTTAGAGAAATGCTTCCCTGAAGAATCAGAGGCAGCTTTCCATTTTAATTGGTAAAGAAATTATTATATTCTGAAGCATTTATTCTAACACTTGAACCAGTGCAAAGGTTTGCAGTCAGGGCTGTGAAGAGATCTGGGTAGTTTAATGTGGAGCTTAGCGAAATGCTGCAGTAAAACAAATTTTTCTGTGACATTTTCTTGCCATTTGGCTGTGATAGTCTATCATTTGTCACAACACGGAAAAATGAGATCTGTCTTCATAATGTACCAAAAAGAAGTCTGACTGCAAACGCAAGTCAGGAAGAGGCATAGAGACCGGAGCTGAGTGGTGAAACCCTAGATCGGGAGATGGTTATGAGAAATCATACACCAGGAGACCTGAGAATCCCCCAACCAGGAGTAATTGAATGTGGTAATTGTTAAGGAGAGCTTTAAAAAGAAACCTTGAGTAAAAATTACTTACGGGGTGCTTGTTTTAAGATGGAAGTGTAGTAAATTTCAGGACAAATTTTTAAGTGGCAATAATACAGGCACGGCCTATGCTGTAGGCAAAATAAATTTTCTGAACTAAATGACTCCTCTCAGCCAGGCTACAGTGTTTGTTTTCAAGGTGAAATATGTATTTCCTTCATTGCATTGGTACATGGATGGCTGAAGTCTGAGAGGAGGACTCTAGGGATCTGGTCGTAAATGCCTGGCAATACCACCTGCTCCTTATGGGATGAGGGGTGAACTTGGATATATTTGTATTGCAAAACAAAGGATGGGATCAGAAAACACTTCTTGGATGTGGCAGAGATATGTGAGTAGTATTTCATCTTGCAAGAAACAAGAAAACAGAGGTTTTTCTTACTCCTGCACTTTTAAAAGTAATGTATTATTACTAGTCTCCTTGGTGTGAAAGGTGTTAGGCTAAATATGTTAACTCCATGGAAAAATGACCTGCAATCTTGTGTGTTAAAGTGATATAGAAATGTCAAACATATTATTTAATGTTTTGGTTTTTTTCAGAAAGAGTCAGTCAATATACTTGAGCCTAAGTGAAAGTAATGACTCATACAGCCTGCATTTTATCAATATGTCAAGCCTCTCTTACAAGAGTGACACTGCACTTTAAGACAAAGAAAAATCAAGGGAGTTTGAAGATGCTAGGCAGTCTGCTCTTCTAGTGCTGTCATTTCTTCTTGCTCTTATAGAACTGCAGTCAAAGAAGACACAGACAGACCATTTTTTTCAGATTATTAAAAACAGTATAGATGGAAGGTGAAGGAAGAATGACACATGGTTCTGTTCAAGTCCTTTAGGTGCTGTGGCCATATGATAGTTCCAGGCATTCATTCATCCAATTTTACCCTTTCTTTTCCTAATGTTCGCTTTTCATCTGACAGCCGTTAGAAAGCACAACTTCTCTGTACTCGTTCATAAGGACAAGATGATGTGTTGGGAATGTGCTGTATCAGAGATGGGGAACTCCAGAAGGATGACCTGGAACTTTTTAATGTTCCTGCAATGCATATTTGAGTATCTTTCTGGGAAGGGGGCAGAGATCCTTTGCATGCATATGATTCTTGCATGCAAATGTGCTTGCAAGCTCAGACTCACATTAAATTCTCATCTGAAATTTATTGCCTGTTGCACAGAGCTTAGGCCAAGATTTGTTCACCTCTGTTTTTTCAGTATTCAGCAGTAAGTAGTCTTCCCTGCTTTGGCTAACTGAAATACATTTTAGGAGGCAGCTGCCTATTGCCAAGAAGAGCCCGCATGCGAGAATATTTCCATCTGGGATGACTAACATGTACCCAATGTACGTCCAGTCTCACATCCCACTCTGCAAACAAAATCCACTGATGAATTAATTCTCTTCTTGCTTCAAAGGGCAGTCAAAAGATGAAAGTGAAAAACTGGACATATTTCAAAAAATGACATTATATGAAAAATAGGTCATTCAGCCAGATTGCAAATCATAGATTTTAAAAAATGTGAAATGTCAAGAGGTCTTATTTGAAAAAGTATGTGTTTCCTTGCTTGTTGCGTATTTTGCTAGTGATGGAAAGAATGTATTCGAAAAGGAGACACTGTTTTAACTCCTTCTCAGGATAATGCTAACAATATTCAACTTGTTTCATCCAGGCTTATGTCAATATAAACACAATGCATTTGTCCTTGCACAGTTTGTCATTCTTTCATTAAAAAAACAGCAAAATTAATTTGAACGGTTGTAAATGTGGAAGTGATGCAATGCTTTCTGTTAGTTCACAGTTGCAAATATCAAGTCTGCTTCTTGTGAAGACACTGGATTTTATTGAATGTGTCGTACGCACGGCTGATCCTTCTCATGCACTGAAGGAATGTCAATGCTGATATAAAATCCCATATAATAACCCACTGGGTTCTCATATATCCATGACTGAGGCAATAAAATATATAATTGTGATGCTAACGAAATTGCTATTTTAAAGATAAGTCTTTAATAAAGGGATTGTTTGTACCTACCCAGAATTAAAACCAGAGCTGTCAGTCTAATTCAGTATAGCTGTCAATACTTAAAATAATACACAGAAGCTGCAACTTCTTAGCTATTCT